AACAACAACAACAACAACAAACAACAAACAACAAACAACAAACAACAAACAACAAGCAACAAGCAACAAACAAACAACAAAAAACAAACCACAACAACAACAACGAGAATCCGCACCGCGGAATCCCACTTCAGCCACGCACTCAGGGACACTGAATGACCGTTCGGCCCCCTCACTCTGCCTATAAACAACAGTCTGGGGACAGTTGTTTTTATTATTTGTGAGCATATTTGGAGTATTTTTTGGCTGTTTTGCATTTGTCGTCCAACATCCCCTTGGTTTGGGGGACCGGCCCGACCTGAATCCAGGCCCCGGAGTGGCGGACCCCTCGTGACCGGACGCCTCCTGCCCGGGCCCCCTCGGGAGCCTTGAGACGGGGGTCAATGCAAACGGGGGTCAGCCAGGGCACCAGATCCTGCAGGATCCTGCGAAGACCCCCTCTGGCTGACCCATGTTAGCGAGCCGCTCGTGACCGCGAGGCGGCCGCGCATATCGGTTGGCCCGGGTTTGCGAAGACCCGCGGTGCAGTTTTTTTTGTCCTGCGTTGCAGTTCTTGGTGTCTTGCTGACCCGGGTCTGGATTGACCCGGGTAGGAGGAGGAGGAGGAGGAGGAGGAGGAGGAGGAGGAGGAGGAGGAGGAGGAGGAGGAAGGAGGAGGAGAGGAGAGAGAGGGGGAGGAGGGGGGAAGGAGGGGAGGAGGAGGAGGGGAGGAGGAGGAGCAGGAGGAGGAGGAGGAGGAGGGTCAGAAGATCCCCGACCCCCGCAGGCATGGCCCTCACCGCGGCGCTGACGCCGCCCTACTCCGCCGCGACGCTCCGGCGGCTGCGGGCCCTCGCCGACGGCGACGTGTCGCTGACCACGGAGATCCTGTGGTCGCGGGAGCCGGGCTCCGACAGCTCGGCGGGGTCCGACGAGGATCGTCGTGGGAGAAAAAGATACAGATACGTGTTGTCCCCCTTCGTTTTCGGCCTTTCCTGGTCCTCCTGGGGAATCCTCGTTGTCACCGCTGGATTCGCCTCGAAATTCTGGTCAGAACGCACCCCAGGAGAGGTCCGGGGACAACACGTATCCGTATCTTTCCGCCCCCCAAGATCGGGGGCCCCCAAACAGGGTGGTGACTACACCTCAGAGCCCCGAATCATCAGGAGTAACTCGGGTCAGGGACAACTCGGGTTCCTTTTTCGGGAATCCAAACCCGAGTTACCCCGGACCCGAGTTACCCCGGATAACTCGGGCGCCCAAACACCGTGCGGTGAGTCGGTGGGGATTCGGGGTCGCCGCACGGTGTTGGGACTCGGGCCGTTCTCCAGGGGCGCCCTGGGCGACTGGGGCCTGCGAGGCCCCGACGCCGTGCGGCGACGGACCGTGCGGTGAGGTCCGGGGAGATCTCGAGGTCACCGCACGGTCTGTCACCGCACCGTTTCGGGGCTCCAGAGAGGACGGCGACGACGAGTCCTCCTCGGGCGCCAGCGGCAGGCTCTGCAAGTAAACGCTGCTGCGAGCGTGCGGCCCGGCGCGCGGCGCGGGCAGGACGGGAGGCCGGGGGAGCTGCAGTCGCAGGAAAGCCAGGCTGGCGCTGGCGGGTTGCCGGACGTCGAGGTCGGGGGGGTCGTCGGGGCTCAAGACTTCAAGCAGTGGCGAAGCGTCCCGGCCGGCCTATAACCTTAGCAAACAATGATATAAGAACTTCTTGTGGTTTCCACGAAGTGTTCTCAGAACATTTCTGGCGGAGTCTGTCTTGTTTGAACAATTCGGGATTATGTTCTAAGAACATGTTACTTGTTCTTAGAACAGCTTTGGGTTCTAAGAACATCTCATGGTAGGACTACAGGAATGCCGGGACGGTCGGTCCCTGCTCAAGAGACGGGGGTCCATGCAAACAGGGGTCAGCCATAGTGCCGGATTTTGCAGGATTTTGCAGGGCCAGCGTCGCATTGACCCGGGTGTGGGCGCAGGATCCTGCAGGCTTCTGCAGGGTCCTTCGCGTTGACCCGGGTTTGGGTGCAGGATCTTGCAGGATTCTGCAAGGCCTGACTGACCTGGGTCTGGATTGATTCGGGTACGAAGATTGAAGCGGGCATGGAAGGACCGGTGGCGACGACGGACAGCAGTCTCTGTCCATGCTGAGCAGGACTCCCAGTCGATCGCCCCGGGCGTGGTCCATTTGGGGCGCGCAGAGGTCGCCTGCCCAACAGTGGCCGCTGTCGTTCTTGGACCACGTTCGCTGTTGGGCATCGTCTCTATCTTTCCGTGCCCATGTGTGGCACCCAACCGAGGGTCCGCGGGGTTCGACGCCGACGGCGGCGGGGCGTCTCCGGCCCACGGCGCCGAGCTCCGCAATGAGCGCCTTGGGCGGCCCAGGAGAGCTTGGCTGGCGCGGGGTGCGCGTGCATGTTGTGTGCCGACGGGGGGCGACGCTCCTGGGCAAACAGTGCCCGGTTCGCTGCCACTGGAGCCGGGGGGGGAGGGGGGAGGGTTTTTCCGTCTTTCCTTGCTCTCCGTGTCCTCGTCGTTGCTGGTCGTCCAGCGCACGAAAAGTAAGATGCAATCCTCCGCCATCGGAGACGCCTGTCTCGGGGCGGCTTGAAGCTCCATATCCCCACGATGGCACCGTCGAGGTATGAACTGCCCCTTCGCCCCCAGGACAGACACCCACGATGGCGGAAAAGTGTATGCCATACGTTCTTCGCCCGCCAGCTCGTCCTCGTCCTGCGCCTCCTCCTCCTCGTCCCTCCCTTCTCGTTGCGGCTGCCACCGCAGCTCCTGCTCCTGCTCCTCTCCTCAAGGCCGCTGAGGAGAGGCGGAGGGAGGCGGATGAGGCGGGGGGGGGGAGGGGGGGCCGAGCGAGGAAAGGGGGCCAACCGAGGGAAGGGGGCCGAGCTGCTGCCGAGGGACGCGGGGGAGGGCGGAGGGAGAGGGAGGTCCGAGCACGACGGGGGAGGGCTCGAGAGAGGGGGCTCGAGGGGCTCGAGAGAGGGGCTCGAGGGAGGGGCCGAGGGGCTCGAGGGAGGGCGGCGAGGTGTGCGCACGACTGGCCGGGCCGCAGTCCTAAGTCGGGCCTGTCCCTCTACAGGAGGAAGATTCAAACATGGTCCAGACACAGCCCAGGCACGGCTGTTTCTTATGTGTGTTGGTTATCTTCTTTCGCCCAATCCGCTTGTAGGGGGACATGCCCGACCTAATTCGCCGCAGCCCCGGGTCTCCCCTCTCCGTCTTTGCCTCTTTGGGCCCGTCTGCTGCTTCCTGGAGCGCCTCCCGACTGCATCCGTCACCACCCCTCTTTGCTCTTGCGTTCTGCGTCTGGAGTTCGTGAACTTCTCATGGAGGTGAGAGTGCACCGCGCTGATTTTTCCCGGTCCTTTTCCGAAGGGCCAGCGTGCTCAAGCATGCCTGTCGCCCATCTTTGGGTCGCCCTCTGCGGCGATGACAGTTCGTTCGTTCGTTCGTCCGTTCGTTCGTTCCTGCGTGGCCTCGCCCCTTCCTCGCCTCTCTTCCTCATGCCATCACCACCCCGCTCGCCGTTCCAGCATCAGGCAACATCTCTCATCCCCCCCGCCCCCCGCCGCAGAGCGCCAGGTTCAGAGCGCGCCGCGCCGTCTCGATCATCAAGATCAGCATCCCAGCCCTCCTCCTCCTCCTCCTCCTCCTCCTCCTCCTCCTGGGGACGTCGTCCTGGGGGGGAGGTCGGGGAAAGTCCTCCTCCTCCTCCCCCTCCTCCTCCTCCTCCTCCTCCTCCTCCTCCTCCTCCTCCTCCCTCCTCCTTCTCGTCACCATCACTGTCGTGCTCCTCCCCCCCTATCTCCTATCCCCCCATGTCCTCGCCCCACCCTCGGGCCCCAGCCTCTCCCCCCGACCCCTCCGTCGTACCCCCTTTCTCCCCCACCGCGCCCTCCCGCCTCCTCCTCCTCCTCCTCCTCCTCCTCCTCCTCCTCCTCCTCCTCCTCCTCCTCCTCCCTCCTCCTCCTCCTCCTCCTCCTCCTCCTCCTCCTCCTCACCTCCTCCTCCCCTCCTCCTCCTCCTTCCTCCTCCTCCTCCTCCTCCTCCCTGCCATCCTCCTCCTCCCTCCCTCCTCCTCCTCCCTCCTCCTCCTCCTCCCTCCTCCTCCTTCCTCCTCCTCCTCCTCCTCCTCCTCCTCCTCCTCCTCCTCCTCCATCCCCCCATGATGTTCGCCCGCGTCCTCTCAGGGTGCTGGCCTGCTGGTTGCCGCGCGCACGTGGTCAGCCGATGCCCGCGTCGCCTCTGCGGCTCGATCGACCAGGCCGGCTCGCTGGCGCTGGGGGTGTTTGTGCGTCCTCCTCCCTCCCCTCCTCCCCCCCTTCCTTTCCTCCCTCCCCTCACTCCACCTCCTCCCCCTCCCCCTCCTCCTCCTCCTCCTCTCCTCCCTCCTCCTCCTCCTCCTCCTCCTCCTCTTTCGAAGGGCAAGCGACAGCACGAACACAGCCCTTCGAAGGTCCGCGCAGAATTCGTGGTATCGGCGCTGGACCTCCCAGGCGGCTCCCAGATCGCCGAATGCGATGCGAATAGCATCGACTTGCGCGCGTGGGTTTTCTTCCCAGAGCCGCGCCATGTATATATAGATGAGTGTCGATATCACGATCCATCTTCGGGACACTGATCGGGACAGCCACTGGGACAACTAGTCGATCTGTCCAATCATCCACCTGTCTCCATCTATCAGAATATCGAAGACGCCCACGGCGAATCACCACCGCCCCATGTCTTTTTAGGATACGGCTATATGGCCAAGCGCTTGGGCAACATTTGGGCACGCTATTGTACCATGTGTTCCCCCAGCCTTGCGCTCGCGTGGACGATGGGCACTCAAGTATGGGGCGCGCGTCTTGCGAGAACATGTTCTGGCGTAAGCTCCCGCCGCCTGGCGAAGTGAAGTTGCGGAAGATCCGAGCTGCCGTGATTTGTATAGTTTGTTGTTGCTTCGGAGCTGTCACTTCCTGAACAAGTTTACCCCGACTGCGCTCCTGGTGGTCCTTTCCAACGCGGATTATCAGGCTACTCTCGCACAGGACGCAATCCTTCGGAGAACATGTGGGGGAAGGAGGATGAGGATGAGGAGAGGGATGAAAAACGAGGAGGAGGAGAAGGAGGAGGGTGATGCCTCTTGGCAGCCACTTGGGGCACTTTGGGGGCCTCCTGGGAGTTTCTTTGGAGCCTCTTGGAGGCCTCTTGGGGGCCTCCTTGGGCCTCTTGAGGGCCTTTGGGGGCTTCTTGGGGACCTCTTTGGCCGTCTTAGGGCATTCTTAACCCCCAAGACGCCGTCGGAAGGCACCTTGGGGGCCTAGGGGCCTTTCTGGTGTGTTTCAGGGCCGTCTTGGACGCCTTTTGGGCCGTTATGGGGCTATCTTGGAGGCCTCTTGGGCGATCTTAGGGCGATCTTGGGTGCCTCTTGTTGGGCCGTCGGAAAGCCGAAAAGAAGCAAAGGCCAACATTGTTCAAAAACCTAAGGACAATCAATGGTTTTGGCCTCCTCAGGCCTTCCTGGAAGGCTTGTGGAGGCCTCTTGGGCCGTCCTGGAGGCATCTTGGGGGCCTCTTGGGCCGTCTTGGGCCATCTTGAGGCCATCTTTGCCCGTTTTGGGTGCATCTTGGGCCGTCTTGGGTGCATCTTGGGTTCAAGTTGGGTTCTCTTGGGGCCATCTTGGCCGTCTTGGAGGCATCTTGGGGTCAATCTTAGGCCATGTAGGGGCGAAAAGGGCAACCACCCGTGCATCGCGAGCGGCCTTCTGGGTGGCCGGCGCGCGGGGCCAAAGCCCTGAAACGAACCTTTTTGTGATAAGTCAACATGGGGCGGCGGATCGAAGACGGCTACTGTGAACCAACGCCGCTTTGTGTCTTTTTGGAAGTGCCTCAGTGGCCGAACGTTGCGTCCACGGATCGGCCAAGCTGGGGTACGACCTCCTCACCCAGCCGTTGTGAGAACCCTCTGGGGAACATGTGTGGGAGAAAGAAGAATAACAAAACCAATGTAGTAAGAAGAATGTGAAAAGGAGTATGAAGAATAAGCATAATGATAAGAAGAAGAATACGAAGATGAAGAGAGGGAGGAAAACGAAAGAGGAGGGGGAGGAGGCTTCTCGGGAGCCTATTGGAGCACCCTTGGGGTCTCCTGGGAGCGTCCTGAAAGCTTCTTGGAGGCCTCCTGGAGGCATCCTCGGGCCTCTTGGGGGCATTTGGGAGCTTCTTGAGGGCCTGTGTGGCCATCGTATGGGGGGTCCTGGCCCGTCTGACGCAGTCGGAAGCCGTCTTGGGGGCCTCGCTGGGCCATCTTCGGGCCTTCTCGGGGCGCTCCAGGGCCGTCTTGGAGGCCGTATTGGGCGTCTTGGAGGCCCTTGGGCCGTCTTGGGGCCCTCTTGGGGCCGTCTTAGGGGCCACTTGGGCCGTTATGGGGCCATCTTGGAGGCATCTCGGGCGCTTTAGGGGCGATCTTGGGGGCCTCTTGAGCCGTCTTGGGTCGTCGGGAGGCCGAAAAAAAGGAAAGCGCGCCACTGGATCACTCTGTAGTTGAAAGGGGGGGGGGTCCGAACCCTCCCCCCCTCCTCCCCTTCAAAGGCGGGATGAGATTTTCGCCCCCCCCCCCCCCCT